TCATACGAACAGTCGCTTCTCCACGTAAGAAATCATCCAGCGTATATTGTAGATCGGGAGTATGATCTGCCTCCATCCCGCCTTCAGTTCCTGGCTTGGATACATTGTCTTTCTGCTCTTCTAGTGTCGGGCGGTAGGAGGCGATTGTGTTGTAGCGTCGGTTCTTTACACCAGTGGAGCAGCCCGAAAGAAGACGAGCCAATGTGTGAACTCCAGCTTGTTGGCCTGCAGCACGCGCTTCTCCAAGTCCCACCAGCCCTTTGGGCGTGAGTGGTTTAGGGAGCCCTGCTAAAAAACGACGACCCTCACGAGGATTCTGGCCCCGTCGGGGGGATACAGTTTGGCCCCTCTGCTCTTCTTTGAAGCCAAAATCATTGGTTTCACTAGGATTTTGGCCCCATGTTGGCCTCCTGAGGGGGCCGCGCTCATCTTCCTTCATAGCAAAATCATTGATTTTACTAAGGTTTTGGGCTCATTTTGTCCTTCTCAGGGGGCAGCGCTCCTTTGCGCTTCAGAGGAGGTCGCAAGAGGCCCCAAGATGGCCCCAAGAGGCCCCCAGGAGCCTCCCAAGAGGCCTCCAAGAGGTCCCCAAGAGGCCCCCAAGAGGCCCCAAGACCCCCCAAGAGGCCCCCAAGAGGCCCCCTGAGGCCCCACGAGGCCCCCCAAGAGGCCCCCAAGAGGCCCCCAAGAGGCCCCCAAGAGGCCCCAAGAGGCTCCAAGAGGCCCCCAAGAGGCCCCACGAGGAGCCCGAACGACTCACACCAGGACGAGGGGCCCGAACGACTCACACCACGAAGAGCCCGAACGACTCACACCACAAGGAGGGGCCCGAACGACTCACACCAGGACGAGGCGCCCGAACGACTCACACCACGAGGAGCCCGAACGACTCACACCACGACGCGGGCCCCGAACGACTCACACCACGAGGAGCCCGAACGAGTCACACCAGGAGGAGGGGCCCGAACGACTCACACCAGGATGAGGGGCCCGAACAACTCACACCACGAGAAGCCCGAACGACTCACACCAGGACGAAGAGCCCGAACGACTCACACCACGAAGAGCCCGAACGACTCACACCAGGAAGAAGGGCCCGAACGACTCACACCAGGACGAGAAACCCCAAACGACTCAAATCACGAGGAGCGCTTTCTCTCCCTCCTCCTCCGCCTCGTCCTTCTCCCGCTCCCCCCACAAGGAGGATGTACAAGGAGGCGGGAGGAAGGAGGAACAGGGGAGATATGCGGGGCCAAGCGGACGCACGCCTGAAAAACACGACTGTCGGCATGCTTCGCAAGAGTTGCTGCTGTGAGATGGGCTGGTGGGGATACGCGAAGCGTACAGAATTCCTGGTGGAGTCGCTTCCGATGGATGGCGCGGCGCCGCCTGGCCCACTGGCGCAGCTGGTAATTATTCCTCTTGATGTTAGTGAGTACCTCTAGGTGTGTGTCGTCGTAGTCAGTTGTCTGACCATCAAGAGCACAGAACGCAGCCGCCTCCACGCGATGTGCCCGTCGTCGCCGAACCAACTCGGGTCGATGTCTTTGGAGGCGTCGCTCTGCTGTGTCGGCCTTCCTCGGAGTAGCGCCAAAGTGTTTGAGACCGATCCGGTGTACCTCCTCGGCACAAGGATCGTAGTAGTGATCAGCGTGCTGGTGCAATTCCCTTCGCTCGGTAAAGTACGTGTCTCTGTCCTGCATGGCTTGCTCGAGGTCCCTATGGGATGCTTCCCTACCCGATCCTGTTTGGAGAGCTTCCGCCAGCTTCGCGTGGTCCCAGCGCAGCATATCATCACGGGGAATGAGAACGGGGCTCTCATAAAGGAAATCCAGAATCACAAGGAGGTGGTCCCGAGGGGTGCTTGTCGGGTTCAACTGTAGAAGGCGGCCCACTCTCCAAACAACTCGGCACTGTCTGACTCCAGGCCCCAGGCCCTTCGGGATCGCGAAGATGTCGAAAATGGACTTGCCGCCCTGGGTACTAAAATATGTCGGTCCTGATCGCAACGTGTAGGTCCCAAGGGCCATGCGGTCTAGATCCAGAAGCATGTCCGTGAAGATCGCGCCCGCGGGGCCATTCTTCTTGAGGCGATCTGGGCCTAGGTGGCTCTCGTCGGGGTCCACTGGGGAGCCGTCCTCCAGGAGTCCGAAGCCCGAGACGATGTCTAATCCCAAGATTGGAGTACTCCTAGCACGACATTGTCCGACTTGACTACTAACGTATTCCTCACGTTGGCTGCAGCGTCCTTCTGGGCTCGTCGTTTGCGTCCTGCTCCGTGTAGTGGGGGAGGGTAGACACAAATAACAGTCACATCCAGAAGTCCTGATTTCAGTCGGATCCCCCATATCTTCCAGCGAACCTGCGCGGCCCAGGGACAACCGAGTAAACGCGTCCTGCCCGAAATCAACGGCCCAATATGATATAATAAATGCCTGCGCTGCTGTTGCTGTAAGGTGCTCGCTCCCATCCAACATGTATTGCTGTATAGTGCTTGCCCGCATCCTCCGTGTGGTAGCCCCGTCCCTCCCACTCCCTAATACACGTCCCTGGCATCATCAAAATATCACAATCCAGTTTTGTACAAATCTTTGCAACACGACCAGTGGAGCATAGAGAGAGAAGGTTACACACTGCAGCTCGAAGAAGGCTGCCCATCGCCACCAGTCCCCCGCATAGGCTCGCGACATGCATCAGCGGCCGAACATGGCAAGCCTGAGGTGCCGACCGCTGGGGGTTTGTCAGTCTTGGAATCGCCTCAACGTTCATTATGGTGTGTGTGTGTGTCTGAGGCTAGGAGGAGGAGGAGGAAGAGGAGGAGGAGGAGGAGGAGGAGGAGGAGGAGGAGGAGGAGGAGGAGGGGGAGAGGGAGAGTTTGGGGGGGAAGGGGAAGGAGGGGGAGGGAAGGCAGGAGGAGGGATGGAGGGGAGGCAGAAGAGGGATTCAGGGGGAGAAGGGGGGGGGGGCATGGAGGACGATGGGGGAGGGGGCTGAGGAGGACGGCTCGTGGCTCGGGGAAGGGGCGGGAGCACGAGCGGCAATGGAGGAGCAACGCACGGAGCAGGATGGAGGGGAAGAGCAGCTGGCAGCGGGAGTGGGGGGGGGGGGGAATTACTGAAAAGGAAATTGATTAGTGGCGCTCACAGAGGGGGTAAGGGGAAGGTGGGAAGGCTTCTTAGAGGCACCCCTGCTTCTTAGAAGGCGCCCGCCTTCCATCTGTAGACGGCAAGGCCTGCGCCTTCCAAGAAGCAGCCTCGTTCTAAGAAGCCTTCCCTCCTCCCCCTCTGCGCATGGCCGACTGGAGCAGGAGGGAGAGAAGCAGAGCTGTCGTTGCGTTGCCGCTGTTGGGGAACCGGCGGGCTGTCTCAAAGAAAGATAATCTCGGTGATCTCCAGAGGCCCTCGCAGGCCTCCGGGTGGTCAAGATGGGGCGGAAACGTCCAAACATCTCCTGCCTCGATCCCCGAGGGTCGATGGCAAGACTTCCTGAAAGGTAGACTCTGGATCTCGCATCCAGTGCAGCAGAAGCAGAACGAGGTCTTTCCTCGGTGGACTTCTGCTGGGACCGCATCGTGGACAGAACGATCGACACCTCAGGGCCGCCCGTCCCGCGATCAACGTCCTCTCATCGTTGTCGTCGTTCTCCTCCTCCTCCTCCTCCTCCTCCTTCTCCTCATCCTCCTCCTCCTCTTCATTCTATGCCCTCTTCGTCCTCAGTCTCACGCCTCCATCCTGCCCCCCACCCATCCGCCTCCGTACCATTCTCATCCTCATCCTACCTCGCTCCGTCCTCCTTCTCCTCCTCCTTCACCTCCTCCTCCTCCTCCTCCTCCTCATCGTTCCGCCGCCTCCTCCTCCTCCTCCTCCTCCTCCTCCTCCTCCTCCTCCAAATAACGTCCTTCCTCTGTCCTCTTCCCCTCCTGCGCCACCTCCTCCTTCACCTCATCCCCCTCCTTCCTCTTTCTCCTCCTCCTCTTCATTCCTCCTTCTCCTCCTCCTCCTCCTCATCATCATCAGTATCATCATCACGATCATCATCATCATCATCATCATCATCATCATCATCATCATCATCATCATCATCAGCAGCAGCAGCAGCACCATCATCATTGTCATCGTCATCATCATCCTCATCGTCATCATCAGCAGCATCTGCATCAGCATCATCATCATCACCAACATCATACGCATCACCATCATCGTAACCACCATCAGCATCAGCATGACCATCATAAACATCATCATCAACATCATCAGCATCATCATCGCCAATCATCAGCATCATCATCATCATCATCATCGTCATCATCATCAGCATCATCATAGAGATCAGCATCATCAGCGACAGCCTCATCTTAATCAGCCTCATACGCAACATCAGCATCATCATCATCACCACCATCATCACCATCATCACCATCACCATCAGCATCATCATCATCAGCATCATCATTACCAGCATCATCATCATCATCATCATCCTCCTCCTCATCATCATCATCATCATCCTCATCCTCATCCTCATCATCAGCATCAGCAGCAGCATCAACATCATCATCATCACCGTCACCATCATCATCGTTCCATCCCATCCTCCCTTCTCCCTCGGTGTCCTCCTATAAGGAAGAAGGGAGAAGGGGGGGAGAAATCGCCAGATGAGAAGGAAACCCGGAAGAGCAAGGTGAGGAGGAGGAGCGCGCCCGATCCCCGCAAAGGCCGCGCGAAGGCGGCGGGCGCCGTCCAGCCCACGTCACCCGTGGCATTTGCCGCACGGGACAGTGGCCGCACATTTCCTACAAGATCTTCCTGCAGACCGCGCAGCACGCTTTTGGTGGTACACGCTCGGCGCGCATGCAACATCATGCATGGGCGCGAAGTGACCACTGACGCGACAAGGCAGAGGAGGAGCAGGAGGAGGAGGAATGAATGAATGAATGAATGCGCTTCCTGCTGCGGCCGGTAGTCTTGAATTCTCGGGTGGCATTTGTCGCCTGAGTGCGGCTAATTCAGAGGTGTCGTCATGTCGTTGACCTGATCTGGCGCCGCAGGGGCGTTCCAGGAATGGACGCGCTCCCGCAGGATCGGCGCGTAGACCGAGAGGGCGCGGCGGCCCTCGAGCGCGCCCCCCCTCGCGCCTCTGCGGCAGGCCACCACGCCCAGGGCCACGGCGCCCGCAACCATCAGCGCCGAGGCGAGCACGAGGGGCGACGTCATCGGCTCGGCGGCCCGCCGCAGAGGCACGGCGAACTTGGCCTCGGTGGCCTCCTCCTCCTCCTCCTCCTCCTCCTCCTCCTCCTCCTCCTCCTCCTCCTCCCCCTCCCCCACCTCCTCCTCCTCCTCCCCCTCCTCCCCCACCTCCTCCTCCTCCTCCTCCTCCTCCGCCTCCTCCTCCTCCTCCTCCTCCTCCTCCTCCTCCTCCTCCACCGCAGAACTTGGCCTCGGTGGCGGGGCAGCCCACGTTCTCGGCCCTGCAGCAGTAGTCCTTCTGCCCCGCGCTCCAGTCCGAGGTGTCCACGGCGGCTGGGCCCTTGGACGCCCACTCTGGGCACCACAGGAGCTCGTTCGTGCAGCACCACTCCTTCTTGTCGTCGGTCCAGCCCCTGGCCCAATCCCACAGCCCTTCGTGGCAGTCGTAGTCCGCCGCGCCGTCGGCGGTCTTCGGGGGCTTGCCCTTGCAGCTGTATGGCGGCGAGGTCGTCGACGCCTCCGCTGGGCTGGCGGAGGAACTCGAAGTCGCGGACGAGCTGGAAGACGCGCCCTTGGAGGTCGATGGCACGCCTGGCGGACCCGTGAAAGTGTCCTCGTCCCAGCTGGATGTGGTGCTCGACGGCTTCTGGCTGCTCGGCGACTTCTCGGAGCTCGCGCAAGGGAAGCCCTTCGTCTTGCAGCAAAAAGCTTTCTTTTTCTCGGACCAACCCGTCAACCACATGCCGATGCCCGCCTGGCAGTCGAAGTCCTCGTCCTCGTCCTCGTCCTCCTTCTCGGCTTCCCCCCCGTCGCAGCCGCGACCTTGCGAGTTGCAACAATACTTCTTCTTCGCGTCGGGCCACCCCATCCTCCAATTGTCGTAGCCGTCCTTGCAGTCGTACTGCTGCGTGGTCGTCTCCACTACATCCGCGTCGTCGCCGCAGCCCAGACCTTCGGCCTTGCAACACCACTCCTTCTTCTTTGTGGACCAACCCAGCTTCCAGTTGTCGTAGCCGGCCTGGCAATTGTATGTTTCAGACGTGGTGGTCCCGTCCACGCAGCCGCGGTTCACCGTCGTGCAACAATATTCCTTCTTGTCGTTGGACCAGCCGGCCACCCAGTTCTTGAAGCCGGCATCGCAGTTGTACATCATCGTGGTAGTCGTGCTCTTCTTGACCACCTGTGTGGTGGTGCTGATGCTGGTGCTGCGACGCGACGTCGTGTTCTCGGACTCGTCGCATCCCTTGCCCTTGTTGTCGCAGCACCACTTCTTTTTGGAGTCCGACCAACCCTGCTTCCAGTTGTCCAGGCCATCCTTGCAGTCGAACTTGTCACTGGTCGCCGCCTTCTCAGGTGGCGGTGGCGGTGGCGGAGGTGGAGGCGGTGGCGCCGGCGTCGATGTCGGAGGTGTCGATCCGTCCAAGATGTGGTCCCAGCCTGCGGGGCACTCCAGGCCCTGCTCCCGGAACTGCACGCAGCAGTACGCCTTCTTGGCGTCGCCCCAGCCACTGTAGTGCCCGCCCCTGCAGTCCATGGGGTCGTCGCCCAGCGCGGTTGTCGTCGTTGTGGCCACGCGCGTCGTCTTCGTGCGCTTCGGGCAGCCAATGTCCTTATACATGCAGCAGAACTTGCGCGTGTCGGTGGGCCACTCCTCGTCCGCGTCCCACTGCGTGCAGCACGCACTCTTCTTCTCAATCGACCAATCGTTTTGCCAGTTGGCCAACCCCACCTTGCAGCTGTCCGAGGCCGAGCCCGGCTCCTGCGCCTCGTCGAGGGAGCAGCCCTTCTGCCTGTGCTTGCAGCACCACTTCACCTTCGTGTCGGGGTGCAAGATGGCTTCGTAAGTGAAGCCGGCGTCGCAATTGTACGGGTCGCCCGGAGCGGCCGTCTTGTTGTTCCCCGGGCAGACGCCCTTCACGTCGCAGCACCAGTGAACCTTCTCCACCGGCCAGGAGATCTCCCAGCTCTTCAGCCCGTTTTCGCAATTGTACTGGTCCTCTGGGGTGGTCGAGCCGAAAGGCAAGCACCCCTTGCCCTCGTGCTCGCAGCAGTAGGCGACCCTCTCGTCTGGGTGCGTCCTTTCCCAGAGGCTGAAGCTTCCAGAGCAGTCGATGCCATCCTCACCAGTGGTGGCCTCGTCTGCGGGCGCGCACGCTTTTCCTTTGAAGCGGCAGCACCAGTGGACCTTGTCCTTGTCCCACTTCTTGTGCCAGTGCTTGTACCCATCGTTGCAATCGAAGGGCTCGTCCGCGCCCGAGGACTTCGCGTCCGACGCGCAGCCCTTGTTCTCGTGCTCGCAGCACCAGTTCTTTTTGGCGTCGTCCCACCACTGCTTCCACTTGGAGTAGCCGGTATCGCAATTGTACGGCTGATCCGGCTTGGTGGTCGTGACCCGCTGCTCCGCGTTGCTCGAACCCACGCAGCCGCGCTGCTCATGGTAGCAACACCAATCCTTCTTGTGCTCTGTCCACTCGAAGGCGGGCCCGTCGCGGCAGTCGTAGTGGCCCTTGGGCGTGGGTCCCGACGGCGCCGGGGCGGGCCACGCCCAGGGCCAGAGCCACCCCAGCTGGGAGGGCGGCGCCGGAGACGGCGTCTTGTCCCGCGCCGTGGGTGGCTCCGTGGTTGGAGGCGCGGGGGGCCCGTCGCAGCCCAGACCTTCTGTCTCGCAGCAGTAGGTCGTCTTCGATAGGTTCCACGTCGAGGGCGTCCCCGAGTCGCAGTCGTGCGTTTCAGGGCATCCGCGCTTGTAGTTGGCGCAACACCAATCCTTCTTGTCGTCCGACCACCCGGTCTGCCAGCTCGGAAAGCCCGCCTCGCAGTCGTGCGGGAGCGACTTGGCGTCTGCGTTGTCCTCTTTGTCCTCGCCGTCTGGGCAAGCGAGGTCATACTTGCAGCAGTAGTACCTGGTGTCCTCGGGCCAGTTGTCCGCCTTTTTGAAGCGCTGGCAGCAGTACTCCTTCTTCGGTACCGTCCACACGTTCTGCCAATTCTCGATGTCTGCCTCGCAGTCCAGGCCTGGCTCCTCGGACGGAGGGGTCGAAGAGGCGCCCACGTCGCACCCGCGCCCGACGAGCTGGCAGCAGTGATCGTCCGCGCCAGCGGGCCAGACGGACGTCCGCTCCCAGCGCTCACAGCACCACCCCTGCTTTGCATCACTCCAGGTCTTCTCCCAATTCCGCAGGCCGTCCTCACAGTTGTAGGGCGTGTCCGGCCTGCGACTGGTGACGACCTCCGAGTCGCTGCACCCTTTGTTCTCGTTGTCGCAGCACCACGTCTTCTTCGACTCCGACCAGCCCGTCGTCCAGGTGACGAACCCGGCTTCGCAATCGAAAGCGGGCGACGACGACAGGCCGTTCAGACCTCGGGGAGACGTAAGACTCGGGTACGGGGGACTCGGGTTGGCCTGACGGGGGCCATCATGAAAATGACGATGCCCAATCTGGAATCTGACGCGAGCTCCCGCTGCAGACATCCCACGAACGCCAGACCGTCCAAATCCGGGGCGCGCCCGTCAAAAAAACGACGGTAAACCCGAGCTCCGGCTTACTCGGGGGCGCGCAAACGTGGATTAGCGATCCATGGATTTGGCGCGCGGTCGCCAAATCCATGGATCGGGAAGGTGACCTCCACAAAACGCGGCCAATGCCGCCTCGTTCGGCGGCGGGAATCCGCGATTTCCCATGGAAACGGGACCCGTCGCTAATCCACGCCCCCTTGATCCATGTTTGCGATTGCCTGGCTTCCTCGAGCCTTACGTTTCCCCGAAGACCGCCCACGAAGTCGCCGACGGCGTCCTCCGCCTCGGGCACGGACGCGAACGCGTCAAGCCCGTCTGGGCCGGAGCAGCCGACGCCCCAGTGCAGGCAGCACCACGCCATCTTCGACGCAGGCCAGGCCGTCCGCCAGTCCTCCGCGCCGGCCTGTCATTATAGCTCGGGCGTGTCCCCCCACAGGCAGCCTTGGACGAGAAAACAAAGGTACCCCGAAACATATTCTAACAATATTCAAACAGAATCGAGAAATCGTCCCCGGACTGTGTTTTGACTATTGTTGAATCTCCCCCCCTGTAGAGGGACACGCCCGACTTAAGCCTGGCAGTCAAAGGCGAAGTAGCTCTTCTTGCAGCCCTGCTTGTGCGTCCTGCAGCAGAAGTGCCGCTTGAAGGGGCCCCACTCCTCCATGATCGAATCACCGTTGGACAGGTCGCATGAGAACTTTTTCTCCACGTCCGAGTGGTTCTTCCAGTCCTTGATGTTGTCCAAGGTCTGCTCGAGCTTCATGATCCACGGGTACTTCTTCAGAATCTTGCTGTTACTCCTGACCATCTCGAGCAGCTCGTCCTTTCCTTCGTCCGCCGTCAGCGTTCCGTCGGACTTCTCGGAAAAGGCCTCCCCGGGGAGCGGGAGCGCCCCGGCGTCTTCGGCGGCCGCCTTGGAAGCCGTGGTCGACGGGGCGAACGTCATCACGGGGGCGCCGCCTGATTGATTCTCACGGTCGTCCTCCCCTGACTGATTCTCCTGGCCGCCCTCGTTGAGCAGGGACCGACCGGCCCGGCAATCCTATAGGCCTACCACGAAATGTTCCCAGAACCCAGAACTTCTGTTGATAACAGAACAGAATCAATGATCTTGGAATATGAGCCCGATGTGATGAAACAAAACAGTCTGAGCCAGAAATGCCCCAATAACATTTCGTGCATACCACACAAGGTTCTTAGAACATGTTTTGGCAGGCCGATACGAAAACCAGAACGCTACGTCGCTGCTTGACCTCGCCGTCGGCGCCCCGGCGCGGGGGCGCCAGCACGTCTCCAGGGCAGCCGATCTGCGCGCTGATGCAGCACAGGTCCCTCTCCTGCGCCGTCCACATCATGGGGTCGCCGTCCTGGCAGTTGACGTGTGCTTGCGCTCTCGCCACCAGCTGCAAGAGGACGGGCACGGCCGCGGCATACGAGCCGCGCATCTGGCCAAGCGTCCGACGCCCAGAGCCGCTGCGACGGCTGCGGCCAGCATGGGGCATCACGGCACACCCGCGGCTGGAACCTGCAACCGCTAGGCTGCTTGAGCCACAATGACCACGGCAGATGAGGAGGAGGAGGAGGAGGAGGAGGAGGAGGGGGGTAGGAAAGGGAATAATGATGTCAAGATAGACAACATGAGAGAGAGAGAGAGAGAACAACAACAAAAAACAAAAAGGGAGAGTGAAAGTGAGAGAGAGAGGGACAACGGAGAGAGAGAGAGAGAGACAGAGAGGGAGAGAGAGAGAGAGAGAAAGAGAGAGAGAGAGAGAGAGCGAGAGAGAGAGAGAGAGAGAGCGAGACACAACAACATGTAGGCATGGAGATGTCGGGGAGGTGAGGGACACATAGACGGGAAAAGACAGATGATGATGATGATGATGATGATGATGATGATGATGATGATGATGATGATGATGATGAGGATGATGATGATGATGATGATGATGATGATGATGACAATGATGGTATTGATGCAAAGGCTGCTGCTGATGATGAGGATGATGATGAGGAGGATGATGACGATGCTGATGATGATGCTGCTGATGATTGATGGTGGTGGTGATGTTGTTGTTAATGATGATGGTGATGATGATGCTGCTGATGATGAGGAATATGATGATGCTGATGATGATTGATGGTGATGACGAAGTTGCTAATGATGATGATGAAGCTGCTAATGATTATTGATGCTGATGATAACGATAATGCAGGCGGTGATGATGATGGTGATGATGATGCTGATGATGATGGCGATGATGATGATGATGATGATGATGATGATGATGACAATGATGACAATAACGAGGATGATGATGATGATGCTGATGCTGCTGCTGCTGATGATGATGATGCTGATGATGATTATGATTATGATGATGATGATGATGATGATGATGATGGTGGTGATGAGGATGAGGTTGATGATGAGGAAGATGAGGATGAGGATGAGGATGAGGATGATGATGATGCTGATGCTGATGCTGATGATGATAATGATGATGATGATGATGATGATAATGATGATGATGATGACAATAACGAGGATGATGATGATGATGATGCTGATGCTGCTGCTGCTGCTGATGATGATTATGATGATGATGATGATGATGATGACGATGATTAGGATCATGATGATGATGGTGGTGATGAGGATGAGGTTGATGATGAGGAGGATGAGGATGAGGATGAGGATGAGGATGAGGATGAGGATGATGATGATGATGATGATGCTGATGCTGATGATGACGATGATGATGATAATGATGATGATGATGATGATGATAATGATAATGATAATGATAATGATGATGATGATGATGATGATGATGATGATGATGATGATGATGATGATGATGATGATGATGATGATGATGATGATGATGATGATGCTGATGAGGGGACCGGCAACCATCTCTTTCACACGTCTGGTGCCCGTACGGTGGCCCGGCTTGTTCAGCTGCTGTGGCGCGGTCCCGTTGGCCCGTCGCCTGCCGCGGTGGGCCCTGCTCTGCATCGCTTGCTTTTCAACTGGGGGCTCGGGCTGCTCCCTCGCGCCTCGCAAGCAAATGCCGCTAGGCCGAAGCCGTGGAGGCAACTGCGCAGAGCCCGCAGCGCACTCTGACGTTCTCGTGCGCCCTGGCGTGCAGCTCCAAGGCCTGCGCCTTCGTGCGCTTGGGCGTGAAATAATGGGGGAGGGTAAATGGGGGGGGAGATGTGTGCCCTTCTCGGTCCCTGAAGGCCCCCTCTTGGGCCCTGAAGGGCCCCTTTCTGCAGCCCTCGCTGCCCCCCCATTCATCGCCCCCCCATTACGCGTCCTCCGATGCGCTCCTTCTTGGTGGCTGCCGGGAGCTGGTGGCATCCCGCTGCCGCTTGTCAGCCGACAGTATGGCCCGACTGGCCAGGCGGTCAGACTGTGCTGCCGCGGCGACGCTGGCAGCCTCCCGCTGGGCCTCCTCCGCGCCCAGCATGGCGGGCAGCTCCGAGATCTGCTGTGTTGAGCGTCGTGACCGTCTCCCCCGAGGTCGCTGGTCGCCGAGCCGACTTCTAGCACTTAGCGGGGGGCGTGGACCGCTGGGCGACGCGCCGCCTCGTGGAGACCGGGCCGCTCGCGCTGGGCGCCGCCGCCGTGCTGCTGCCGGCCATGCTGGGCAACGTGATCGCGGAGTCCGTGGCGGCAGAAGTAGGGACTCCGGCAAGCGTACTCCCACGGTGGCGCCGCGGAGCGGTCGGCGCCCGCGCTTCCAAGGAGAAGGGATCCGCCGAGAGGGCTTGGCGAGGCATTGCGCGAGGCGGCATACGCGACCTTATGCGGTGGCGTACGCGGGTCGCCAGCGCGGCGCGCCAAGTTGGCAACGAGGGCGCGTACGCGCGACCTTGCGCGGGCAGCTTGCGCGCCAGTGTCGGCACGGTCGACCCCGATTTCTTTTTTTTTTCGCTCAGGTGGACGTCCGCTGGCACTGCAGTCTGCTCAGCAGCCGCGTCCCTTGGGCGCGAATGAATGGGTGCGACTAATGGGGGTGTGGGGGGAAGGTACCCTCTTCGGCCCCTCAAGGCCCCCTTCTGGGCCCCATGTCAGGGGCCCTGAAGTGCCCCTTTCTGCGGCCCTTGCTGCCCCCGAATTTGATCGCACCCCCTTTACGCGACGCCCAACTGCAGAGGCCCTTGCAGGCCTCCGGGCGCCCCAGCTGGGGCAGGAACGCCCAAACACTTCCAACCTTGATCCCCGAGGGTCGGGGGCAGGACTTCCTGTTTTAGGCAGGCTCCCCCGCGGCTTCCCCCATGAACTTTCGGTCCCAAGTGGGCCCCAAGACGGACCACGAGGGCCCCACGAGGCCCCCAAGACGGCCCAAGAGGACCCCGAGACGCCTAAAGATCGGCCAAAGACACCCAAGATGGCCTCAAGATGGCCCAAGAGGCTTCTAAGACGCCCCAAGAGGCCTCCAAGAGGCCTCCCAAGAGGACCTCAAGAGGCAAGACGTCCCAAGATAACCTCGCCTTTTCAGCTTTCCAACGCTCCAAGACGGCCCAAGAGGCTCCCAATACCACCCCTAAAACAGCCTCCAAAACGGCCCCCAAGACCAAGAGGCCCCCAAGAGGCCCCCAAGAGGCCTCCAATAGGGAGCAAAGGCCCCAAGACGGGCCCAAAAGGGGCCCAAGAGAGGGAACACGAACCGAAAATCCGAGCATTCCGCCCCAGAAGGCCCACAAGAGGCAAGAGGCGCCCAGGAGGCCCCAAGATGCCCCCAAGACGCCCAAAGAGGCCCCCAAGAGGCCCAAAAGAGGCCCCCCAAACGGCCCCTCAAAGGCCTACGAACTGCCTCCAAGAGGTCACCGAGAGGCCTCCAACGAACATCGAATAGCCTTCATAACCGCAGTAAGCAATTAAGACCCCCCGGGGTTATCGTTAACACCGCACCGAAATTAAATCATTCTTGGGGGCGGTGTTCGCGGAACGATATCTTTAGCACCGCGCAAAAGAAAGGAAACTAAACAATTGCCGCGCCTTGGCTCGGGCGGTATCCCAATGGGGATCTGTAGGATTCCTAGATATTCCTATTCCCCTCCTGACTCGTGCTACTGCCGCTGCGACGGTAACGCTGATGACGACGATGGCGACGTGTATGATTCGAGGCGGCCTGTGCGGGCGACTGGAACTCCAGTCTGAAACGCTGAGCGAGTCCTCAGCTAGGATGTCTCAGGCGAGGCGCTTGTTTCAGAACCACACGGAGGCCATATTGCGAGAATAGTTTAGGCGGGTTAATCGTTTCGGCGGGCAGACTCGTCTGCGTTAAGAGCAGGTTGCGAGGTGCCAGGGTAACGCTTCCAGGGTGCTGGAGCGTTATACTTTCGCCGGAGAGAGGGGAGGGGGGGATTTCTTAATTGCCTCTCCAGGTTGCCCACAGCCCAGGCACGGTGGCGGGATGGGCCGAAAGCCATTCGAGAAGGAACGAAGCCTCTTCCTGGCCCCAGAGGAGAGCCTGCGTGAACGAGGAGGGCTGGAGGAAGAGGCACGGAGGGACCTGAGCAACAGCGAGCCCCTCCCGAGACCAGAGCGGCCCTTGTTCCCAGCGTCTTGACTGCAGCCGGGGTGGGCCGCAGAGCACGGGCCCCCGCGCGCACTGCCACCCACCTCCGAGCCGGCGCTCGGGCCTCGGCCTCGGCTGGGGCCCCGCACGCCTCCTCCGAGGTGGCCCTGCGCGCCTCACCGGCGTGCTCTCGTCGCCGCCTGCCCGGCGCCACTGAGAGGCTCTGGTCGGTTCTGTGCTGCCCAGGTCGCCGTCGTCCCCGCCAGTGCTGGCGGCCAGCTGCGCTAACGCACAGCGGGGCCACGAGCGCCCGACGGGCCCATGGCGATAGCATGCGCGCACGCGGAAAGACGCAAGACAACCCAACCGCATGAGTTCGCAACAAGAGCAAGCGGGCCTAAGAGGTTCGAGCCAAAATGGCTACGGAGGAGGAGAGAGAGAGAGAGAGAGAGAGACACGGGGGAAGGGAGAGGGGAGCAGGACGATCTGTGTGTGTTAGCCCCATCTATCAAAAGACATCGTACTCCTCCCTCCCATTCCATACCATGGAGTTGGGCACGCTCTATTCGCAGAGGACATTGTGGAAGAAGACATGGGTCCCGATGGAGCGACTTTGTCCAGTAAGGCGCTGGAGACAAAGAAATGAAGGGAAATGACAAAAAACATGGGGAACTAGGAGGCGCATGCAACGAGGCGGAGGGGCGAAGACAGGAAGAAGAGCATTGACGGATGTCGAACAGAAGACTGTGACAGACGCCTCACAGGGAACTACACACATGCTGATGCAGCAGTACAGCCAGCGCTGCGGCGAGAGCGTCCTTCCA